TTGTCTGAGTGAAAGGCAAGCTGCGGGTTTTCCCTTTCTTTMTKTACWCTTTCAAATAWRACYGCTTAACAAAAATGCACGGGCTCACTGGCTTACAACCTTGGCGAATTCATATGCAGGCCTGGTCGCAAATCAATCACCCAGTGGTCATGGTCATGTGATAAGTGTTGGTGATGGCTACCTATTAATATCGAATTGCAAAATTTATTCTTTTTCGTTTATGTTCTGTCCTTAGAAAAGGCAATTTAAAAATGTTGAACTTTTCCAAGATAACAAAAGGTTAACTTTCATGTCTGATCATAGGACGGGTAAGCCAAGTAACTGCAATATATTTTCAAATTTAAACAATTCAGGTCTTGAGGTTTCTAATGCAAAAGGAATCCACTGAATTTCGAAATTAGCTTTTTTTCAATGTCTCATGTGGAATCGCCCATATAACGTTTTTAGTTAGGAAATTTTTATTTTCCAGGAAAAAATTCTTAGAAAGTATTCCTTGCCTGGAGAGTGAGTTCTTTTTTCCGGAATTTCTCGCTCGCAACAAGTTGTGACTTACAACTTGCTGGGACAAGAACAGATATATTTATCCCAGGAACCCTTCGGCTTCTCCTAACTTCATGGAGTTGCAGTCAATTTAAAGCGGATTTCGTATGACTGTTCAAAGGCAAGAAGAAAAACAGGGACATGGCACGGTCACGGACCTCGCCTAGTAGTGATCCAAATAAAATTAAGGAATCAAGAATACATCACCCGGCACGGTAGAGACACGGCACGAAAAAGTGCCACACAGAAGTGTGTTTTTTTCACAGTCACTCGAAATCCGCTCAACTAACATATGGTGACCTTACACAGGGTCTACAAGCTCTTTGTTTCGACTGGTGATACATTCAATTTGAATGCTGGTGGCGAAAATTTATAGCTGAGAGCCGGATTTAGGGGGGGGGGCGAATCGGGCGCTGCGCCCTCCTTTTGCTGAATATGTTTTTTATATGCCTATTTCAAAAGAGGTTGACGAATAAAATGTCGAATGCCAATTGTCGAACGGCAATTGCACGACCGAAAGGAGCCATGGGTCTTACACTGTAAGATAGTCTGTGGTGAGCATTGTTCTCCATATCTCCATTTTTCTTTCATGCAAAGTGAATCCAATAAGTGAAATTTTGTTTGTCAAAACATCCTGTAACCATCGTGCATTCTCCCTTCGAAAATCGCCATTCTCCGCGACAACGTCTTTTGGTGTATAAAGAGACAATAAGGATAGTTTGAAAATTTGACTCTCGCTTTTTATTTATCATGTGCATTTTCAATAAACACTTTTAGCGATCTCTTTTACGCTGTGTTAGCCTCAAAACCATGTAATAAATTCTTTTATTCACAACAGCCCGTGCAAATGCAATAAAAAATGTGTGAGTATAGAAGACAATGGAAATAGTTTGAAATCTCACGAGTTTTATCTACATTTCTGAATATTTTAGCACACAATTGAGGCTAACACAGCGTAAAAGAGATCGCGAAACTCGACTATTGAAGATTTGTAAGTTGATGGAGCAGGACAAATTCCCGCGAAAATTTTCCGCCATTTTCATGGCATATTTTGTAAAAAAAAAACTTCAAGATAAAAATATYATTTTTAAGAGAAGATCGGAGTTGAAATCGTATGCAAATCAGGACATATCTCTAGCTCATATAAAGATGCAGTCACGCAATGATTTTTTCACACATGTGTTTAACTTATGAATTATTTATGAATTTGATAATAAGATAAAAATAGCTCATCTCACACAATATCTATCTGCTATAACTTAAAAAAAACTTAAAAAATATAAGTGATACGTTATGACCATAGTAGTAATACTTATTTGATTGGACTTGAATCATTCATCCCCCTTCAATGGAAAGACGCCATTTTGATTTTTATGATTAAATTATTAATTTTTTATTTTAAATTATTTTTGTACTCACTCCATCAATTCCCCTTCTTTGCCGAAAATCTTCTCGTCACAATAAATCGCATACAACTCCCCGCGGTCCTTCTTAACTCTAAATCCAGGTTCCCTTTCCATCTTTTTAAAAAAATGATCTCGCTCTTTTTTTTACAATCCCTTATATACTTTTTTAAAGACAAACCTGATCACGTGGTTTTATTATTTTTTATTTTTATTCTTATTGATTCTCTCCCCATCATGCCCTGTGGGTTCACGCTCGGGTCCAGACTCCCCCAGTCAGACCCCGCCCCCGGCGTCATGCACCACCTCTTTTTGGCATATCCCAAATTGGACGTGAATGATATTCACGCTCATAAAAATCAAAATGGGGTGGATGAATGATTCAAGTCCAATCAAATAAGTATTACTACTGACCATGATAAGTTTTCTTCCATTTTGATGTCCATAGCAATGTTTTATAAAATCACTTCAAAAAACTACTAAGAAACGGAARAAAACCAAAATGATTGACTTGATTCTAATCTTTATAGTACACCAACGACCAGGTTGATTTTTTATGATTTATCTAATGTTTAAAGTCCTCCAATTCGGACTGGACGGGATTTCAAGTCCTTGCAATTAGTTCCAGTCCGAGGCGTTGCTCAAATGATAAAGTAGTAAGCAAAGTATAAAAACCCTAACTCACCTTTTCTCTTTTCTGCTTGAGTTTTAGCGTCTTCGTAGTCGGCTAGCTCAAGCGCTAGCTTTCTACTATTAAGCTTGTCTTTAACCATAGTTGGCAAGGACTGCATATTTTCGGACATTTCGGGAAATGGAACCTTTGATTGAGTTGCTGTAGAAGAGCGAAGTTGAAGACTTTGCCTGTATATTCGCCCTTTATCAACCTTCTTGTCGCTTCTAGCGCTGTTCTTATGAGCCAGAATGTATTCGTGGCTAGCGCAACGTGAACAGGTACAGTTCGCAAAAGCGCAAACTCGCTTGTGTCCTTTCAAAGGTTCTATTTGGCCATGAAGACGGCATTTTGCACACGTTCGACCTGACATATTTAAGTCGAATGTGTTCCTCGATGGGAGCAAGTGGTATTTATTCCGTTCAAAATCTAAACGCAAGCCTCGCTAGATGAGCCACGCTCTTGGGGTTAATGTTTGTGAAAAAATGTGTAAAAACAAACAAACRCAAATCGCATTTTCACAACTACGCCGCATTGTTGCTTTGTTCTCTTTTTGCATAGAAACTGGGAAATTCATGCAATTGCACTTTTTGACATCTTCCAAAGAAATGCTAATGCTAATTCTATTGGACATGAAAGTTTATTATACGATTATAATATTATTCTGAACCACATCGCGCCTCAATTGTTTAACATTGATTGTCACTTTTCAATCATTTTGCCACGTTATAAATTTACTTCACTTTTCGCAGGATACAAGCGTTTGCAATGCAACACCTCTCCAAGACTATAATTTCACCCGATGCAAAAGCGCATATGTACTATTGTTTGTCAAATCCAGTGGTCAGAAGCCGTTCAGAAATTGGCATAAATCTTAAAGAAACTTTAAAATGCCCTGGAGTTTGAATACACACTTTGGTTGCTACAGATATGGTCAAAGTTATCCATTGCAAAAACGACGAGGTTATTGTCACATATTTGAATACGCTTTCGACCGCAGATACTGCAAGAATTTGTAAAGTTTCATATAACTGTGTGGACAAATATATACGTTTTTTTCAAGAAAAAGCTATTTTAACTCCTTCAGTCACTGAGAATACACGACCAAAGAAAATGGAATGGTGGATGGAAGCATACTTGGAAGCCTTGGTTAGACTCTATCCTACAATTTATCTCCGAGAGTTACAGGCAATGCTTACTGACGACTTTCATTTAGCTCGCGCCGATGTTCCTTCTATTGCAACAATCGCTAGGTTGTTTAAACGACTGCGAATAACTCGAAAGAAGTGTATACATGTCGCCAGAGAACGCTRTTCGCCTTATAATCGTCAGTGTCGTCAGCTTTTCTTTCGATGGAGAAAATCTGTTGATCCAAGCAAAGTTTATTTTTTTGACGAAACTTGTTTGAATTGTGAAACGGATAACCGTGAATACGGTCGGGCAGATATGGGGGCGGCGTGCCCATCTTTCCGCGAGAAGAGCAAAACGCGCAGCGGAAAATGTTCAGCTCTTGGTATCTGTGGTTTCATCGAAGGAGTTATTCAAGTAATTCCTATTCCTGGGAATTTTTCAGCTGACATTTTAGTCGAAGTAATTGAACAACAAGTAGTTCCGTTACTGCCACGAAACGTGTTTCTGGTAGCCGATAATGCAAGTGTACATAATGAGCCTAGACTCTGTGCAGCTTTAATGCGAAAAAATATCACACTTATAAAACTGCCTGCATATGCATACGACCTAAATCCAATTGAGATGGTCTTTGCGCAAGCGAAAGCTCTTGCTCGATGCACTCCGGGTTTCTTTCAGCAAAATTCATTCATTGCAATTCTAACGGCCTTTGAACAAATAAGCCYATTAAATGTAAGAAAGTATTACAAGCGTTCATGGGGCATTGCARTGTAATTTTTTAAGTGTGTTCATGACAATTTTCTTGTTCATTTGGAGTTAASRAAAGAAATACTCGTTGGTTTGTAATTGAAATATAAAATAAAGAAGGACAATTATTTATGCTACCATTTTGTTTTGGTCTAATACACCTTATTACGCTTTATTACACTTTTTACACTTTACCTATTACACTTTGTTTCACGGGTTTTTGCAAACGACTCTAGTTGGAAACGTGGTAGAAGTAACTGGAAATAAGGTAGAAATAGCTGGAAATAATGTAGAAGTAACTTGAAAAAGGTAGAAGTAACTGGAAATAAGGTAGAATACAAAGTTACGAGTACTTCCTCTGGTTTCAAGTTACTTCACGTGGTACAAATTACAATCAGGGATTGGCTGGATACCTCATGAATAATTAATGAGTAGGAGAAGGTATTTTAGAATTACTTTGAAAACTTCATCGCTTATGTCAGCGGAAGCACAGTGAAGAAAAGACAACTTTACGTATTTGTAGAACATTTTATTAATGACATCAAAAAAGGATGTGCATTTCTTCTTTATGATGATCCTGCAAAAATAATACATTATAATTAGAATCATGGGAATTATGATTTGCTTAGCTTCATTGTCTATCATAGAATGTCGTCGTGGCCACGCAATGTTAGTAGAACGATCAAGTTCGAACCTCACACTGAGAAACTGATCATTACGTTTTCTACTTCTCAATGGAATAAAAATTACGATATAGACCTTTATTTATTTTGCAAAAACCATTTAATAAAATAGTCAATAGAAATAAACAAACTTTATCTTTACCTCAACAACGATTGCACGACTTGTCGCAGTTCTTCTTCACGTAATCGTGTGAATTACACAAGTGTTTCCAAAGATGGCAGTCTTTGTTGTTGTCAGCGCACGACCCTGCAATTCCACATAACTAATAAATTCAATAAAAATGAACAAGCTCCCTTTTTAATATGGTATCCAGTAATTATTCTCTGCAAAATACCACATAATACATGACGTAATAAATGACGTAAATGTTTATAGTCGAGTGTTCCAAACTGCGTGTTGCATTTCTTTTTGACTAGTGTTGGTCATATGATTCATTTGCCATGATTTAATATTCGTTAAAGTATCAAGAACCTTTTTATATCATCTATGATTTCCTTAGTCGCTGGGGATTTTACCTTATCGTCGCCAAATGGATCAAGAAAAAAACGCTATGGAAGGGTTTGATCCACCGTAAGGGACTACGTTTACCCGAGAACTTTAGCGCGCTTTTCTTGCATACGGAAAATCGCCATCTTCCAGACATAGAGAGATTGTCATAGCGCATGCTTTCAATAGCAGATCTTTTCCAAAAAAATCGGAAAGGTTCTCAGATGTAAATGGACCTTCAAGCAGTCATTTCAGTGGTTCATGGAAACCATCTCAATGCAGTAGTCAGTAGCAGTTAACAAATTTAGTTGCGTCCTTACCTCCGCAACGTCCGCACGACTTGTCGCAGTTCTTCTTCACGTAATCGTTTGAATTACACAAGTGTTTCCAAAGATGGCAGTCTTTGTTGTTGTCAACGCACGACCCTGAACCTGTAAATCCACATAACTAATATGTTCAATCAATAATTATCACCGAGACGTCACGAAAAAAGACACTTCACTCAAAACTACAAATCCACCATATTCAACCATCTGCAGAAAAATGGTACAGCTCATATGGCTTACCTCCCCCGCCACCTCCACCTCCTCCGGTGTTTCTTCCTAAAAGAAATATTTTATACAGGTGAGATTTTTGTTCAAATAAATATGTTACAGTATTAAATTCTGATAAGTGTTCTGAAAAATCTTTTTTGACGTGAAAAATACTTTGAATTATAAAGCCATTGGCGTGATTGTCGTTTCAAGATTCATTATTTCACTTCACTCGTGTGATTCTCGAACAATGATTTTCGTTTGAGATTTATTTTTGGCAGTTGGGCAGTACAACAAAAAGTAAAGTCATAATTGATTTGTAGCTATCAAACGAGTTTTATGACATGTTTCACCTGAAACGTTTTTCGGAGTGGTTTGCTTAAAATTTGACCAAGTACGAAATAGACCCAGCTTTCTCAAGTACAAAACCTTGGTGAATTGTGGTCTAGTTTAGTGCAAACAAGACAAAAAAAGATGTTTGTACCTCGTCTGTACCGATTCAAAACCCGGGATTCAAAAACGCCCTATTAATTGCTTTTTAAACGCACCAGTGTTTTGTGCAAGATCAGCACTGGCTCAATCTCGAGGAATTGGCAATGACTTGTAGCTTTATTACATGATTTAAACAGGGTTCACTGGCATTCTCGTACCCAGATCGTTCGCAGATTTCCGACGGAAAATCAGAGGCATTTGTTTGTTTCAAAAATGCCATCAGTATGCATATATCGTAGTGTACGACCCAGTATCGTTTCCAGCCAAAGCCTTCGATAATTCGTTGGACAGTTGAGAAGGATCTGGGTATGAGAATGGACTAATTGACTGAGGAACGGCTGAACAATACTCTTGCTATTGAATCAGATGTACTTCATCCGTGAAATTTCAACAGTTGTTGTGTTCAATTGTCGTGTTCAATTGATTAAATATAATTACCATAGTGAGCCTGGATGCCATTAATATCATCTTGTTGAAGTCTGAAGTTAGGGACGTATCCAGTGTAGTAGGGATACATAACAGCGTTCYTGACGTCACTATGATGTAATCCAAGGGAGTGTCCAAATTCGTGTGTCGCGACCCAAAGTAAGTTTGTTCCACTGCTTGTACCGTCAGTGTACCGTTCATCTTCATCAAAGTGAGCACGACCATCRCTAGGRAARAAAGCATGAGCCAAAACCTTACCAGGACCGTCGAACGGATATGCACATCGTCTTTCGCTATTTCCTCCATGAGATCTGCTACCAAAGCTGAAAGGTACAAGCAAAAGGTAAGTCYAAAGCATTTCCTGGYCAATTGCTTAATTTATTTGTTACCTTATCTTAAGATCCGCAGATCTGGCACTTGAAGCCTTGGAAAAGCTTAATCCAGAAACATCAGCCCAGTACTTTAAAGCTTTTGCAAAGATCCTGTCTTGAAGACTTTGGGATAAATCTCGTCCATGTTCAACAAAGTAAGTCAAATGCTTCTTTCTCCATTTACTTCCCAATTTGTACCTATAAAACATTTGGTAACCTTTCATAACACAAAACTGATTCAGGATTATTTTAGCCAAAAACAAATAATTTTAAAATTACTAATATTTGTTTTAAAAGGAGTCAGTTTACAATCGCCAATTAAGGTGCAGTCATTGTCTATTAATCTTACTTGAGTACGATTGATACTGATAACATTACCTTCGGATACGCGTCCCGTCGTCGTCGACATCAGGCATTCCACATCGTGGTTTCTTCATCTGACGAACGGTAGCATCGTCAACTTTTCCAGTCACTGGAAGACCAGCAAAACGTTGGAAGTTTTCAATGGCGGTTTGAACATCGTGGTTTCCAGATCTTGATGGTGAAATGTAGTGGTATTTGCTTAGATAATTCTGTTAAAAGGATTAAATATGCTTAGCTTAGACATTAAATAATTAGAGAGTGGTTGAGAGACTTACCAATGCCATCGACTCATCGTCATCGGCTGCATAGGCCACGYATGCCAAGGCTAACAGAATGAGATACTTCATGGTTAGGTATCACAACAACACTCGTGTGATTTCTATGTTTTCGTACGCTTTTTATTGTTGGTAACGGTCCCTCTGATGTGACAAATTCCACGTGCCACAATAAATACAGGTGAAATATGATCAAATAAACTCACTTCTGCATGTAATCAGCTGGACAAGTGTTGATGCGTATTTTTATTGTTATTTACGAGAAAACTGTATTGGTTGACACATCTGTTGGCCACAATCTGCACTGGTCTGATTTATAACCCACACACGGTACTCCTGAACGTCCTGAAAGTCTTCATGCTAAATCAAGTTAACTCCTTTTTTATGATTATTATTTTTGGTTTTGAAAGGTGATCACTGGCATCCTGTGACCAACCCTCCAAAGAGGCTATTTGGAATTGGAAACTATCCTCACAACAAATTTACTATATTCTAATAGCATCAAGACAATTGTTAATAGAAAAGAAACAAAACAATGTTCACTATGCTACATTGTTCAGTTAATTTCTAAAATTCGGCTTTGTGTCCATTCTTTGCTAAATACGTAAAGCGAACTGCATTAGAACAAACAATGGTAGCTCGATTTATTTCATGACAAAGTTATGAGCATGGCACAGCTCAATCCATGCAACAGTTGCCTGCGTTTACCCATCGGGTTCGTCTTTGTAAACAATGGTTTTTAGAAATATTATTGCTCTCGGCTTTATCCTTTTTACAAAATTGTGTAACTGTGTATAAAGTATCTATACAGTATACCTGCGCAGGAGAAAGTAAATAAGAATTATAGTTGAAGTATAAAGTGTAAAGTTTAAAGTTTATAATTGAAAATTGAATAAAAGAAAGCATTTCGCTGTTGGTCGTTGTTTTATCACCAAATGTCAATCATATGATGGGTGCAGTATTTATTTTTTGTAGCTTTTGACCGTTATTAGTGAGACTAACAGTTGGTATGAAAATGATTGTTTTTTTTGTTCTTTTCAAACTATAGTAAATAGTCATTTTTAATGCACGTTACAACTGAAAATGACTCTAGATCTACTCAAATCCCATTTGCAAAGTACTGAATATGGAAAAACCCATGCATGCTCATTCACGGTTCGAAGCCCGATTTTCATTGAAAACTCGTCTGTAAAATGGACGCGAATTTTCCTGTTTTATAAAAGCATGTAAAATAGATCGCAAAACTCAACAGAAAAACATTGATCACGTGATCAGTTTGGCGTTCGCCGTTCGAAATTAACGTGATTCTCTATGTTTTAAACATTAGCAGTAATGTAAGTATCAACAACTCAAAACAGGCGGAGGAAATAGTAATTTGACTCAGTTTTATTTAAGACGATCTTTGGTAGTACTGATCAATAGTTATTCATGTTGATCATCCATTATTTTGAAATCACAAGCATATTTTGTATTCTGGTTGGTTCAAAATAGTGCGATTTGAGAATGAATTGCACCATGTGCACTATTTTGAGTCGAAATCGCATCTGTTTACCAGGCAATCACATGCAAAAATAACAAAGACAACCAATCAGATTACAGGATTGTGTGTAGCTAACCAATCAGACTACAGCAAAAAGGACGACCAAAACTGTACCTTTCCTAACGCATTACAGCAAATTTTTATTGTAGAAAAGAGCAAAATGTATTATTACAGTGTTTAATTACAGTTTTTAGATTACAATATAATCAGTATATCTCAGTGTAATTCTTCATCATTTGATATTTGTCAAACTTGACTAAACCATGTAAGACAATTTATCCCGCATGCTGGGCTTTGAACCTGTCTTAAGAACCATTCAGTCTATTTTAAATCTTGAGTTATTTTGCCACTGAATGTGATTGGCCAGAGCGTAGGAGCCGGAGTCACATCGGTAAGACACATCGCAATGGCGGGGAACTGTGGATGAAGACGATACATTTACCAATAATCTCTTAGATTGCTATTACACAATGTTCTTTGTTTGAATGAATGCACGTTCTATAAATGCGGATTACCTGTGGTGTGACCCGTGCCTGGCGGTAAGTACAAAACAGAAAATATCCCGCGTGGCAAGGGATCGTGACGTAATGCTACAAGGAAATTCACAAGCACAGTGTGCTCGCAAAGCAAASCAAACAAATCTCTGTTTACAATAGAAATAACGAAAATAATTGAAGAAATTTGAACATTAAACGGGCATTGTCTCCCAGTGCTGAAATCGTCTTAAGAGGTAGATTTGTCGTTCGACGTGAAACAGTGTATTGGTGGCCTCTTATAACAAGCGAATAAAAGTAGCGAATACCGAGTAAGCCTCCCTACCTTTTTGGACTCGTTCAAAGCTGCGTTACTGTTAGAATATAAACTTGAATTTATTTATAATAACATAGCATTTTATAACCTGACCTTCGTTTTCACTATACGTCACAGCGGCCATCTTGGGGGAATTAATAAAGGATTTCTCATTAGTATCTATTGTTCATTCCTCCAACATGGCCGCCGGTCTTTCATCTTTTGAATCTCATCTAGAATGGTTGAAAACGATCAATTCTCAGTTTTCCTAAACTTAGCCCAAGGACTAGAGCTACACCTTTACTGACTTGACCACGAGAGATTATACTACAAACTATTATTTTTTGTGACTAAAAGTATTTTGCTTTACAAATATCAGCTACTACTATTTTTAAAACCGTATGGCTTGAAAAATGTTGTATGAGAAGCTCAATCTTTTATAGACAGTTTATTGTCTCACGTTCTTTTAATATACAGTGCTGATTCAGGTGTGCTATTATCTCTCTCTGGCGAGAGACTTTTGCTTTGAAATTGTTTTAACTTTTTCTCTAAAAATCGGGCTTTTTAAAGCTGTGTATTGTGTGAACTACTTCATCTAGAGAGCTGAAATTTTCAAGAAAGGCTCATTATGCCACGTCTATGCTAATGAGTAAAAATGTAAACATTGATGTCAGCAAAGATTCGCCTATACCTACGACAAACTGAAAACTCTCTCTCTAAGATAGGGAGAGCCTACGTAGCACGCAGTTGATGTAATGACGTAATTCTTACGTAACGACGATTCTTCGGTCACCAAGCCGATCCACAACGTGTCGGAAACGAGAGACAGCAGTTCAAAGTCAAAGTTTTTCAAAAAGGTAAACAAACATTTTAAAACCATTTTCCCGCAAAACCGAAAATATTTACATGCTTTGTCCTTCGCAAGCTGACGTTCTTTGTAAGCTTAACTTAGCTAAGGAAAAGCTAAAGTTATTAAGCTTTATAATACGTAAGAAATAGTACAATATGAACTCGAATATTGTTATGTTAACTTAAAGGATGACTAAATATGTACTATTACAATCGAATATAAATAGGATGCAGTTCATGTAATTTACTATAAAACGAATATATGTTGAAGTTACTGTGAGCTTATATGCAGTTCATGTACAAATAACTTTCACTAAGCCAAATATATATTTAAATAGTTCATGTAATGTACGCTRTGCAGTTCATGTAATGTGCTTATTGACAATCCAATATAGCATGCAGTTTATGTAATGTACAGTATGATGCAGTTCATGTAATGTGTTTTTAATTAACAATCCAATATAGCATGCAGTCCATGTAATATATACTATGCAGTTCATTTAATGTGCTTATTAACAATCCAATATAGCATGCAGTTCATGTAATATACACTATGCAGTTCATGTAATGTGCTATTAACAATCCAATATAGCATGCAGTTCATGTAATATACACTATGCAGTTCATGTAATGTGCTATTAACAATCCAATATAGCATGCAGTTCATGTAATATACACTATGCAGTTCATGTAATGTGCTA